CTGGCTCCATGTTACATCAAAGGCTTCAAATGAAGACCATGACTGCTTTAGGGCTGAGAGGGGAAGAGAAGGATCATTTACTACCACGGAATCACCGAGTTATTTGAGACAGCATCAAGCATCATGTGTAGTTCGGCCTGAAATTTGTCACTTTAATATAATGCTTCCAAACACTAAACCATTCCATAGAGAACCTACATGAGTGCAGTCATACTACCAATGACCCAGTGGTTTACATGACGCTTGAGAGAATCACTAAAGTGAACATCTGTAGATACACAGGGGATTCCAGGGAGGTACTTGACACTCTCTGCTTCTGATAATCACCAGGGACATGTACCCTTGACACTTGACTCACCCTCAAAACACCTCCCTGACAGGAACCTGGAATCTCTGTTAAGGACTGGAGTCCCCAGGGACCACCCCTGACACTCTGGATCTGCCATTCTCACCTCAACTTTCTGCTTGACCCAGCATCATCAAATTGTCTGCTAACTTGTTTCCAGTATCTTTGAGCCGAGACAAGAGGATGCTCTCTAACAGACCTATTAACACCCACTGGTTCCGAGATAGGCGTTTAAAGTAATTTCTGTTGTACGTAACCACTATGGGATATGAGGTAATGAGACAATCCAAATTGCCTTGCTGTTTAAACTCAGTGAACAAGCCAGTGACATTTTACTGATATAATCACAGTTTGGTATTCAATAGGTCAATCAGGAAATGGTTTGAACCATATTTTTAAATAAAGATTGAAATTTACCTACTTTTACTACAGGAGCCACATCAACATCTGCTAGTGTTTAGCTAGAGTAACACTTGGTTCTTGAAAATCAATCATTTTGATAGAAACAAGCGACTATATTTAAATGGAGAAGATGTCCGGGTGACAAGAACCTATGGAAAATCCTGACTTGCTTCATTTAGAGCCATAGCACTGTAGTAAGGTGGAAGGGAAAATTATATAGTACAGGGACCATGGGACAGACTAATTGCAGTCAAGTCAACATGAATTGCTATAGATTGTTACGTAAGTAACTGCATTATTCATTCCCATGTCCTACTAGCTTACCAAATAACCAAGGGGACTTCAGCCAGTGTTCTAGGAATATCAGTCTATTATCTGGAACAAGTATTCTTTAGAAATTCTGGCAGCAAAGAACAGTGCAGTTCATGGGTATGAACCCTTCTTAGAATCTAGCAGAGTAGTCACTGCCATATGGAAGTGTGGGTGGGTGGAACCAGGTTGTAGTGATAAAGTGATGGAGATGTCTGTTGATGATGGCAAATAGGAAACATATTGGGTCAGGAAATGTATCAAAGGGGATCAACCCTAAAGCAGTATGTCATAATATGCTATCAGATTTGAACAAACACTGAAATATCAAGGTTTATCTTTGATATATTTCAAAGAAATGTTGAGAAATAAAGATCTAATTAGACATTTTTTGTGAATAATTTTTGCTTTAATCTAAATATTGTAGTCTTTAATCAGCTGTGGGTAATAAAGCGTGTATGGAGTTATCAAAGTAACACAATAATGTTGTACCTTTGAAAATCTGAATATCACATGGCACATTCTCTACTAAATTAGTAGTGATTGCGATAATGTTTCTCCTCATACACACCAATTAGTAGAAGATTGAACATTGCCATAATTGAATTGACATGCTTGTGTTACAGCAATAGCTAGTTTGAAAATGATGAACTTCCACCTACACTGTAACAAACTTCATCTTCTACAAGGAACTCATCTTCCTTGAGACAAGTACAAGACTTACAAAAGGACTGTGTTACCTCATTAACATGGTAAAGTGGGCAATGTGGAGGGCATACTATTGCTTTATATTGGTGGAACTAGTGCATTTGGTACTTCCTGTACTCAACACACAGAGCTGAGGTGAGAGAGGAGACGCGTTTACTCAGCTTTAGGTCCTTCAAGGACATAACTGAAAATGAATCCCTGTGAGGGACAGGGTCCATGCTTGAAACACAAGTGTCCCTATCTATGACACAAGACAGTCCCTACCAAGAGTTGTAACTTGTAACATCTGTAACCAGTAACTTGTAACAACTGTGCCAATAGGTACAGGTGTGGTACAGAAAGATGGATCATGGTAAGGATTTGGTCCTTAAAGAACATAACTTACAAAAGTGTCCATAGTCCCTAAGTGGTACCGGGTCCATGCTTGAAACACAAGTGACCCTATCTATGACACAAGACAGAGTCCCTACCAAGATGCAGCACTTGCGACATCTGTAACCTTTGCTACCACTTGAAGCCCATCAAAGCAGGTTTTGTACAGAAAGATCATGGATAAGGGTCAATGGTGTGGTCCTTCAAGGACATAACTGACAAAAGAGTCCCTATACCCCATGTATGATAGGGTCATACTTGAAACACAAGTGTCCCTATCTATGACACAAGACAGACTCCCTACCAAGAGGCATAACTTGTGACATCTATAACCTTTGTTACCATTTGATGACCATGGTTACAGGTCTGGTACAGGAACATCATGGATCATGGTCAATCTGGGATTGAGAACAATTACAGAGCTTTAAATCCTTCATAGATATAACTGACAAACAAATCACTTGTCCCTGTGCAAGACAGGTCTCTACCTGAAACACAAGTGTCCCTATCTATGACACAAGACAGACTCCCTACCAAGAGTCAGAACTAATGACATCTATAACCTTTGTTACCACTTGAAGACCATGGTCACAAGTCTGGTACAGGAAGATCATGGATCATAGTCAATCTGGGATTCAGTACAGTTACAGAGCTTTAGATGCTTCATAGATATAACTGACAAACAAATCACTAGTCCGTATGTATGACAGGTTCTATGCTTGAAACACAACAAGGATGACACAAGGCAGAGTTCCTACCAAGAGGCATAACTTGTAACATCCTTAACCTTTGTTACCACTTGAAGCCCATGGGCACAGCCTAGTACAGAAAGATCATGGATCATGGCTGATGTGGGATGTGAATCTATAAGTAGTAAGTAGTGGCACACTAGGACAATTATCCCTGTATAGTGAATTTCAGTGCAACTAGGACACTCATGCCTCACTAGAAATTAATCCTGGTGGACTACAAACCTCATGGGTAATTGTGGTTCCATTGACCACCTTATTGCACATTGTCTAAAGAAGTTGATTTCCTTAGAGAATAAAACATCTGTCAGTGATTGTTTCTTTAAGAACATGCTGACCAAAGACATAATTTGAAATATTGTTAAAAAGGTAATTAAATCATTATTAAAGAAAGGTTTCTATTTTGAATTTCTTTTTTCTGACCTCGTTCAAGTTAACTATTTGTGATTTACTGATTAGAACTTTCTTTTCAAAGTAACATGATACTTCCTGAGGAAATTGCCCATGAACATGAAATTTGTCAAAAGTTTATAATCATTTGCCGGCCCTCATGACAGACAGGCAATTACATGTTTTCTTAGATCAAAATTGATCTATAAATACACATGCAATTTCATCAGTAGTAAATTTTCAACACAAAAATCATTCATCCATCTATCTTAGTCAATGCTTCAAACTTCTCTGGGGTTCTACGCACGGCTTTTGAACACTTTTTTACTTAATATCAGCAATTAAGGTCCATGGAAGAGAAAGATACGCCCTAGATATCTGGTCATTTCTCATCAGAAGTTATGATTAACATGTTAACTTTTAAAGAATATTATCATGTGTGATGATTCAAACCATTCTAACTCTATCGTGTCAAAGCATGTCAATTTTTAATCATTTCAGAAAATGAATATTAGAATCCATTTCAGAGCCAGAGCTATCTAAAACTGAATGTGTTCTGAATCTTAAATTTTGTACATACAAAAACTAACATGTGAACAGTTTCAAGGAAAGCTCATGGCACAAACCACCCAATTTCCCAGGATACTTAGCTCATCAACTTTTTCAGCAACCTGCAAGCAAAGTTATCTTGTGAACTGTCGCTGAGTGATTAAGGTATTGACAGGATTGAAAAAAGAATTTCCCAATAGTCTGAGGAAGACGCTTCGAGTCATGGAATCACGACCTTGAACCTGACCATGTCAAGTTTGGGGTAATGAAACTACTTGACATGAAAATGTTCACTGCTCTGCAGTGGCAGCTGAAACCAGCGCCATAATCAGTGTCCATGTTTAAAGGAAATCAAATTTTGTTTTTATAAATTTGTGTGTGTGTGTGTGTGTGTGTGCGTGCGCGCGCGTGCACATGCATGTGTGTATGTATGATTGAATAGTAAGTAAGTTAGCTTGAATAGTAAGTGTGATCAGTGTGTGTGTGCTTGCATGCGTGTGTGCACATGTGTGTGTATGTATGTATGTATGCATGTAAGTTAGCTTGAATAGTAAATAGGAAGTGGTGTATGATTCACTTGCATCTTCCAATATGCTTGTACCTTTCCAAAATAAATAGAAAGCTCATCGCCAGCACACAAAGTCAGCCATCTAACCCACTCAGCCATCACAGTTAGAAGCTGACTTTGTATGCCGGCAATAAGTTGTCTGAGTGTTGGTTTAAATCCTGGATGGGACTCAACCCAACAAAAGTACTAGAATCTGTTCTTTACTGAGAAAGTGTAACCTCACATATAACAAATGTTACATTTGACACCTTTCTAAATGGCATTGTGTATTAACAGAAAGCTCTTTACACAATAAGAATAATTGGGCCTTCCAATAGGAGTGAGTGAGTTTGATCACTGCATGTCAGCTTCCCATGGGAACAAAGCCCAAAGTGACTCAGGTCTCAGATCTCTACCACTTCAGAAAACCCACAAGTACAGCCATAGTGGTCACAGACCTAAGAACATTAGCACAAACCAGGATTCGAACAAAAAACAAAAGTTTCTGGAATGCCCAAGGGAAGCAACTCTGCAAGGTAATTGTGGTGCCTGAGCTGATTGGTCCACCTGCTCCCTGACTCATGGTATGAGCCTTTGTTTAGAAGGGATATCAGTATTTGTTTCTTACCTTTTTAGTTCCTAAATTTCTTATTTTACAGGGTAAAACTGCCATGGCACCCTGCCTCACTGTAACGTTCATATTTCCCGGCAGGAACTTGGGAGTTGGTGTCAACTGTCGTTTGACAGACTCACTGCAACCTGTGAAAGATAAAACATAAAGTTTCAGATCAACTTGTTCTGTGGTGATGATTCAGTTTACTACAAAAGCTGAGAAAACAAATTCCATGTTCAATTAATTATGGTAAAACTTGGTTACAAAGTTTTCATACATTAGTATGTGCAACTGTACTGAAGTCCCAGTGTGCTGGTGAAAGTCTTTCAGAGTCACTCACACGGACCTATTTAAATCAATAGATGCAAATTTTATGCAGGATCTGACATATTCGATGACATGACCTCCGGTAGGTGTTCCACCAATCATGTCTTAAAAAATAGATATGTTTTTTTGCTCAACACATACAGATGTAATTTTACTTGTGTTGTTCGTACTGTTTTTCCCACATACTGTAGAGGTACTGGCAGAAATATTCAGCTGAACAAAGTAGCCTAAGTAATCATCATGAGTGTCCACTTTGGGAACTATCAATTCTCCCTGGGTGTTGGAGATTCTGAATAATGTTGGTAACTTTGTAAATGTAGGTCACGATATACTGAGTAGAGTTCCATGAATGCCAATTAATAAGAAATTCCTTCATGAATCTGCCACATTGAAATTCAACAGAGCCACTTCATATTGTCAAACATGACATGATGTCCCTACAGGCAATGGATGGCTATAGCACTGTATAACAAGGATTGTCTTGAATAACTATGGTGCCAATCGAAAGTGAAAATGCTTGAGGAAAATAAAATATTATGATAGTATCAATATTATTGGGAAGGAAATGATATGTTACCATTTGAGTTTTGACTGGCAGTGTCAACTAATTAAAAAGTATACAGGTATCACACAAGGATATCCTGGCTACCTAGGTATGACAATGTATTTACAGACACAAAGATGAAACACACCTTTGTATGATCTATAGCAGATCAGACACATCCTCACCATCTTGACCTTTATGATGGGAACCATTCACTTATCATATCATTTGGGCATGAAAACACAAATACTCATTAAACAGATTGTAATATTGTGAGATCACAAATATTCAGTGACAAGATAATGTTATGAGAATGACAATAGAAGAAAAAGAAGCAGATGTTATGAGAATGGAAATATGCAAGAAGTAGATGTCATGAGATCGGGTGGTCAGGCTCGCTGACTTGGTTGACACATGTCATTGTATCCCAATTGTGTAGATCAATGCTCATGTTGTTGATCACTGGATTGCCTGGTCCAGACTCAATTATTTGCAGACTGCCATCATATAGAAGGAATATTGCTCAGTGAGGCATAAAACAAAACTCACTCACTCACCCATTATGCTAGGGGCAGATGTCATGAGACGAACCATTATGCTAGAGGCAGATGTCATGAGATGAAGCATTATGCTACAGGCAGATGTCATGAGATGAACTATTATGGTAGAAGCAGATGTCATGACATGAACCATTATGGTAGAAGCAGATGTCATGACATGAACCATTATGGTAGAAGCAGATGTCATGACATGAACCATTATGGTAGAAGCAGATGTCATGACATGAACCATTATGGTAGAAGCAGATGTCATGAGATGAACCATTATGGTAAAAGCAGATGTCATGACATGAACCATTATGGTAGAAGCAGATGTCATGACATGAACCATTATGGTAGAAGCAGATGTCATGACATGAACCATTATGGTAGAAGCAGATGTCATGACATGAACCATTATGGTAGAAGCAGACTGACTGACTGAGTTTGGTTTTACGCCGCTTTTAGCAATATTCCAGCAACATCACGGCGGGGGACACCAGAAATGGGCTTCACACATTTTACCCATGTGGGGATTCGAACCCGGGTCTTCAGCCCGACGAGCCAACACTTTAACAATTAGGATACCCTAGAAGCAGATGTCATGAGATGAACCATTATGCTGGAGGCAGATGTCATGAGATAAACCATTATGCTACAGGCAGATGTCATGAGATGAACCATTATGCTACAGGCAGATGTCATGAGATGAACCATTATGCTACAGGCAGACTGACTGACTGACTGAGTTTGGTTTTACGCCGCTTTTAGCAATATTCCAGCAATATCACGGCGGGGGACACCAGAAATGGGCTTCACTCATTGTACCCATGTGGGGATTCGAACGCGGTCTTCAGCGTGACGAGCCAACGCTTTAACCACTAGACTACCACTAGACCGCCCCGCTACAGGCAGATGTCACGAGATGAACCATTATGCTACAGGCAGATGTCATGAGATCTCCATTATGCAAGAAGCAGATGTCACGAGATCCCCATTATGCAGGAGGCAAGATCCCAATATACAGAACCCAAACAGTCATGTGACGTTAGCTGATGCCAGCTAGTCATAGCCTAACACTGAGGCAGTTCCCTAATGCAACACACTGACCTGTTTCACAGTGGCCCTCCTACCTAAAGTATGTAAAGACCTCCTCAAGGCAGCATTACAGAGATCAATGGTCTTACTGGCACTGCAAGATTGCGTGAGACTCGGAGTATCCTGCATACATAATCTCCCTTGGGGCAATTCCCTCTCCTTAGTGACATCCTTACTATATCATCTACACGGGGACTCCACTTGTTGTCTATGCTATCATTTACTGTCACAAGACATGAAACATTCGCACTTAATTAACTTTTATGATGCCAAGAAACATCAATGGTTACTGATGGACAATGTGCCAATTCTGACATTCCATACTTTAGTTAGGTGTTTAGGTACACGAAAATCAAGTTTCTGAAATGAAAACCAGCATAAAGAAAAATGTAAATTTTCTTAACAAAACCTCACAGTCTCTTCATTTTCAGCATTGATCAATGGATTGTCCAGACTCGATTATTTACAGACCGCTGCCATATAGCTGGAATATTGCTGAGTGCAACTTAAAACTAAACTCACTCACTCATTTTCAGAGAGAGCAGTAATCAAAGCTTGCCAGCTATTGCTGACTTGCATTGGGTATGTCTGTCTCAGGGTCTGTCAGATGGACCAAGGTGTAACATGTAATGGTATCACAGTGGGGTAGCCTAGTGGTTAAAGCGTTTGCTTGTCACGCCGAAGACACAAGTTTGATTCCTCACATGGGTACAATTAGTGAAGCCCATTTCTGGTGTCCCCTACGGTGATATTGCTGGAATATTGCTAAAAGCGGCATAAAACTAAACTCACTTACTCACTCACTCATGAAATGGTGATGTGAACAGTTCCATTCTGTAATAACGATGACAAATTGGAACATAACCATCTACATTTTTTTTTTGTCATATACTTTTACATACAGGCATATCAGTATAGCACTATAGTTTGTTTGTGTTTGTTTGAGCAACATTCTTTCTGCATCATCATTGTAAAGTGTAAGTGATTACAATAAGCAAACACCTCCCATCCTATTTCATTTTTTGAAACCATTTTTTGCCTCAAGATCATTATCCAAACTGTGAACTTTTGGATACTTATTTGTCATTCTTTCTCTTCCAAAGATTCCAGTGTTCATGTTATATTAAAACATACGGAATAGTAGTAAAACATGTTTGCCATTCTTCATGAGGGAATGTGTCTGAGTCTAATAAGGAATTCAACATTTTCAGTATTAAGATTTGGGTGGGGGGATGTTTCAAAACTTAACAATTTTTTTATGAAACATTATTAAACTTTTGAAATGGTCATATTTTAGGATAAAAAGTCAGAATCCATTTGCTAAAAGAGCTTCATTTTGTCCAAACAGAATGATGCTGATACTGAATATCCAGTAATATTATCCTCATGTAAAGTTCTGCAATGTAAACAGTTTGCTATTTTGGCTTTATCATGAACATTGTTGTCATGACAGTATGTGTACATTATGACAAATGCCTCAGTTTCAACTCTATTCACTGTGTCTTTGAATGACTACTAAATAGTGATGCTACCAACAGTTAGCAAAGAGTGATGATAAGCAAATGTTCAAACCACTGGCCTTTCCTTCTGCCATCTATTTACATGGAAATGGGTTTTAAATTTAAGGTTCTTGAAAAATTAATGTATTCTTTAAGCTATGATTGCGAGCAGGCAAAATGAGATCCTTGAAAGTCCTGTGTCAATTGCCCGCAATTTTTGTGCAAATCTTCACAACATAAACCAACCATTGTCAGCACAATCTGCATGTTATTAGCAAGCACACAATTAAACCAACAGCAAAACTGAAGATCCATCTTCCAGAAGATCATCAATCTAATTTTGTCAGAATTCTCTGCCCCTTGGGTCTTCCTGTTCTGATTTTAATTGCCTTTCATATGAAGCATGGGTCAGTGGGGAGTTATTCTATCTCCAAGTTCCTATAAATGTTGACAAATTCAATGTCAAAGTCATAAATATATACGACACAAATGCCATTTCCATCTGATGTATTGTTAAAATTGCTTATTTGCCGATCTTGCCAAAATATTCACAGCAATATTCACAGAATAATCTACAAGTGCTTTGACAATCAATATAAAATCATTGACTATTCCTTCAGCAGTACCAAACAGGACAGTTTTCAGTGGATGTCACATTAATTCAGTTGAAAAAGAATCACAAATGAGGCAAAAACATCACAAAAATGTGTTCATTTTCTTCAAGTGTCCTCTCTTGTGCCTAACGGACTACAAGACATCAAGGCTTAGATCTGACACTGTCAGCCATTTCTCATGGAAATCACTACTAACAGTTATGTAACATCATCACAATGATCATGCAATGCCATCATAATAATAACTGATGTTGTCAAACTATGACAAATTGCTTTAAGAGTTACCATCATGGGACATTTTATGCAGTTATTCAGAATTTCTTAAGTTTCTATTGAATCTTGTGTGCCTTTGAACCAAGAAGTTCATGACAGCCTCGTCTCAGGAGAGACATAATGGCTGCTAGAGTATAGACTGTTTATCTATGTATTGGAAGTAACGCAGTGTAAAAATCACTTTATTTTTTTTAAAGCTCTTGATCTCATCTTGGGGCATGTCAGGAAATGGGTACAAAGTTCTTTGGCAGT